AAGAGGACATGGATAAAGATAATCTTATAGGGCTACCCGGTTTGGTTATCGTAAACCAAACTATAATCATCGAATTTAGGGATTTTATTTGTAGAGTCGGGTTATCCATATTTTTGAGTCGGATAAACCCGAGATGATTGGGTTTCGGGTCGGGTTCGGGTAGAATTATACTACCCGAACCCCGGGTCGGGTGCGGGTGCAGGTATACTAGGAAAACCCGTTACCCGACCTGATTACCCTCCCCGTTTACCAACAATCATTGAATCTTATATATATATATACATATATATATAGATTATCTATTATAATTTTGATTAATGATTAAATTTTATTTTATTTTTTATGATTTTATTATCATTTTTTGTTAATTGTATAATAAAAAAATTAAATACTTAATTTTCAAATGTTATATTATTAAATAGACTATAAAAGATAAATAATTATATCTCATTATTTATTCCAAAAATAATATAATTTTTTATTGTCAAATTTAGTTAATAAATTATTTGTTACATTATAATTAATTGTGAAGTTATTTTATTTTATTTTATTTTTTCATATGAAACGAGATGGATCGGGTAAAACCCAAATTTAAGACTCGGGTTACACGTTTACCTGACGAAAACCCACTAACCCATCGGGTAAAACCCAACCCAAACCCGAAGATCACTAGTCGGCTAACAGGTCCGGTTTGGATAAAGTGAATTCTATGCGGGTCGGGTTCGGGTTTGCCAAAACCCATACCCGACCCGCCCCATTTACATCTCTAATCGAATTGAACAATATATGTTTAATTATGAAATCTAATTATCTAAAAAATGAAGAAAAAAAAAACAAAATATCATATACAACCACTACAAGAAAGTGATGAAATTCCAATGAAAAATTCTAACAGAAATATATTCCAATGTAATTTCAAAGGCAATTCCAATAGCTATTCCAACGTTATTATTTTCGTTGAAATTTTCCATTAGATTCCAACAAAAACATTCATTTGGAACGAGTTTTCCATTCGAATTTCTATTATATTTTGACGAGTGCAATGGTAGATTTTTCAACGGGTTAGAAATAAAAATTTCAACGAAAATTGCATATTCCAATAGCAATTCCTATTGTAAAAACAGTTAGAAAAATAATTGTTAGAATCATCAATTCCATATAAAATTCTAATGGAACATTAATTCCAATAGAATATTTTTATTGGAATTTCCGTGGGAATGCAATTCCAACAGAAGCTATACCAATAGAATATATATTAGAATTTCTATTAAAATATATTATTATAGAATTTTCAGTTGGAATATAAGAGTTTTTTTTGTAGTGAACACAACAAATACAACAAAAACTATCATTNAAAACTGAATCAACAATTCAGGCAAAAGATTTCAAGTTTCACACGAATTTTCAAATTTCTGAATCGTAGAAATCAACCTAGTCGAGCAGACAAGTCGATTGAAAATCACCAAATGACCCTAGTAAAGAGAGTCTCATAAAGATGGAAGAAGCCGCGACTTGGATCACGAGAGAGACGAGAAGGAGAGTTTGATTAAGTTTTAATTCGTGATGTGAGAAGTTAAAGAAAAACATAATACGCCATATATAACTATATAATTCTTGCATTTTCTTTTTTCTTTTTAAAATAAAAATTCGGCTCAGATCAGTAGCTTTAGAAAGCCAACATCGTTAAGGTTACCAACTTTTGGTTGTTGAAATTTTCTATTAACATATGTACATTGTTCTCTATTTTTAATTGAATTAGGTTCTGTTCAAATTTTTTTTTTTTTTTACATCCAAAAAATATGCGACCTTCACAGCAAATTATGTAGCTCGTATCACCTGAGAGCTCATTTGTTTGCCAAGATAAGACAAGATTAGCTCTTTAATCTTGAGTAATCTTATGTTTGTTAACCTAGATTGAAGCCCGCTACAGCCCGCATGACAAGATTCAGCCCGAGATTAAAAGTCATTTTATCTTGGATATCCATGATTATTGGATCTTGATGTTTTGGCATGATATTTTTCATCTCAACAGTACAAAAAGCTGGAAATGTCCATTTTCTCCTCAAATATCCTATTTTTTTACCAACTAACCTTAACTTGGACGGAAATTTCAACACAAACTATTCTCCTAAAATCCATACTACAATTTTTGATCTTTTTAAAAACGTAGAACAAGGAAGAAATTCACCACCGTATATATTAGAGAATTAAATATTTTCCATGTCCAAAAAAATTGCATATGCAAGCAACATATTATGAGCATCTTCATATTTGGGGAAAACTAGCTCTCACATACGGATCTATTGCTTTTCCAGTGTGAGCAAAAAACAATCCCCACAAATAACCCAAATCCCGACCCACCATCTCCGCCACGAAAATGCCGTTGTTGACAGCAAAAGCATGCTGTTAATTTCCATCTCCATGAAATTAAAGAAACTATTTTTTTATTTATTTGTTTGCAGATTAAGGAGCCTGTATGAAGACAATTTTTACAATAAAGAAAATAAAAAGGGAAAGATGAGAAAAGGAAAGGAAAAAAGAAAAATCTGCAATGAAGGAAAAGGGTCGTTTTGCTGTGAAAAGAAAAAGGATTGCCAAAAAAAATTATGGAATGGAAAGAAACGGATAACAAGAAAAGGAACTAAAGAAAAAAATATATATTGTTGTTGTTGTGTCCTAAGATGGAGTGGAAAGAAATGTGTGAAAGGAAAAAATATAGGAAAATATAAGTTTGAATGGAATGAAAAAAATAAGGAATAAATTATATTTGCTATAATGAACAAGCAGATGGTAAATATTTTGGGCATTGGGGACAAAATTGACAATGTACAATTATATCCGATAAGTTATCTAGTGAAACAAACATTGTGAGGAGTGAAACACTATCTTATCGCAACTAACAATCATACGAAACAAATGTGGGTCTTGTTTTATCTGTACAGTACAATCCGCTCTTCCCCTATTAATTTAGTCTAATCTCATCTCACAAAACAAATGAGCTCTGAGACAATAATGTTGGACAACTCATGATACGCTCATCAAATCAAATCCCACGGGATTGTCTAACCTCTTGACAATGATTCATTAATACCAATAAAAAATCTCGAGTGTATGGTCCAGGTTCATATTTATCAAGTATGTGAATATTTTAAGCGAAAAAAAAAGAATAATAACAATAATAAACATAGTCACTCCAAACTTTTAACTTAAAGAAATCACAGTTGTGTTTCTTCAGGCTGTAGCACTTCTTATTATGTTTCTCTTATCAATATAGTAAGGACGTATGGTTAATGTTACAAGCTTGTGTTTTTTGAGCACAGTACAAGGGAAACTATGACTGAAGACTAATTTCTCACAGATGAATTAATCATATATAAATATTCAAATTACTATTCAATCTACTCATTCATATTTTTTAATTTGTAAAACATTTATCTAAAAATAAAATGTCACAAAAAATTTTCATGATTTTTATTGAGTTCAACAGTTTACAAAGTGGTTCGTTTAATAACTTATTATTATTATTTTTATACATACTAGATGGGCTAAATATATAAAATTATTTTTAAATTACCGTTAAATAAGTTATCTAATACACATTCATGATTTTTTATAGTTTTTATTTTATCTTTATAGATATTTTGATTATTTTTATGTCATTAATTTACAAAATAAAAATAATCAAATTTACAATTTTTCAAATTGAAGATATCACTATTTAATACATGTATAACTAAACTAATGATTGTTGTAGCACAAATTGTTTTTATTTACCGAGTACCGAAACGAACGATTCATTCCCCAGGTCGATCTCACGAGGAAGGCGGTTCGGAATTTAGCTTTGGTATTGATAACACATTAAAGGAAAATAAATCCTAAACACACTAATCAAATAGGGGGTTGAGCAATTACCAACTAAGAAATAATAAAAATCAATAATCTACCTAGAAATATAAGCGAAACAAGGATAAAGAAGCTAGGGAGTCGGGGATAACTAATTCAAGTTCTATTTGCACACCGGGACATTAATCATTCTATTCTAGATTGACGCTCTCGCTTAAGCATCTAGCGGTTCGCTCCCAATAACTCTTCGTAACAAGGGATTGAACATAGACGAACAATCTTGAGCATACGACACAGACCAATTATCCCAATCCCAATAACTATTCGCAACAAGGGATGAGTCATCAACAAGTACGTATTTCAATCCAAAACCTATAGACTATTCAATTACGAAATCATCTACCTCATGCGAGCCTAAGTCTACGACTTCTCCCCTTTCGGTTCTAAAAGTCGTTAATTAAATTAGAAAAGAGTTAATCGACTAATCATATAGAATCAACAAAACCCTAACTCGACTAATCAACATTCAATTGTTTCCAATTGCAAGATCGAAGTGTCACTCTTCGATTATATCAATCAATCAAACAAGATTTCATCAATTCGTAATCAAATCAACCCGCACAAGAACGAACAATTCAAGGCCGACAAATACACGTTAAACGGGAACAATCATCCACTATCCCTACCAATAAGAATTAGCTAAGTAATATCAATTCAACACAATCCATCATCTCTCTCAATTTAACCATTATTCATGAATAAAAAAAATAAAGAGAAGAACTTACAATAAATTGCAATTCCAAGTGTTGAATTTGAATTACAAGTTTAATCCTTGAATACTAATAAAAAGAAGAAGAAAAATGGAAAAGAAAGATGAAGAGAAGAGGAAAAACGAAGAAGAAGAAGAAGAGGAGGAAGGAGAGGAAGGAGAAGAGGATGAAAAAGGAGAAAAATGAAGGGGGGAGGCGATTTTCGGGCCTAGGGTTCCTCCCCCTTCGAGCTGGTAGTCAAAGAATAGAGAAGAAAACGAGTTTTTGGGGTTTTCATACCATATTGAGTGCAGTGGGCTTTAGCGCCGCTAAGGGGGGTTAGCGGCGCTAAGGGATCTTAGCTGTTCGCCTCTGGCGTCGTTAACATGCCATAACGCTGCTAGGAAACCAGGCTTAGCGCCGCTATGCCTGGGCAGCGCGACTTTGTGTTTCAGGTTTGTTTGGGCTCGTCCGGACTCGGAATTGAGTTCCGTTTTTTCCTACGCGTCGCTAACGAACCCCTCTATACATTGATGCTTGAATGGTCAAATTATTCTTGAAATCCAATTCTCTCAAAGCTTATGACCAGCACACTAAAGACGTGCTTCGTGCGACTTCGTGTTTTTGGCCTGTTTGGACTCGTCCAAGCTCGAAATTGAGCTCCGCTTCTTCCTATATGAAGCTAACGAACCCTTCTACTCAACCATGCTTGCCGGGTCAGATTTCGGGCTAAATCCATTCCTCACGGAGCTTTTGGCCTGCACACATCAAATAAGAAGAAAAACGTAGAAAACCGACAAAATACACGAAAAACACATAAAAACCAAAATAAAATAAAATTCATAATAAACTACAACACAAACTAAAAACTAACTAAAAGTCCTAAAACGGGGGAAAAAGAGAAGCAAAACAATAAAGAAAATCGTAACAAAAATAGGACAAACAATGATAACTACTTATTTATATAAAATACATAATAATAATAATTTCCCATTTATCTAATAATTACACCACTAATAATCCAATGGCAGACAATTAATCGCCAGGTAAGTAGGTCCAAGAGATACAAATATACAATGAATGTACCTAATGTACCACATCAGCCACATTCCCATCCACATAC